ATACCCATATTATTTGTATTTTGTGTCCTAGTTGTGTTCTGTATTGTCCACTTGTGCTTGGCCAATAAAGTGATACAGCTCAATAAAGCCATTCTGAGTTTATTACAAAGAAAACGTTTTTCCTTTTACATTCCAGGACAAAGTTGAATGATGACAGTAATGATCTTTAAATTTTAACCCAGCAGGAGTTCAGTTTGGGCAAGAAGCCAGAATTAAATTTTTGGGGCTTTGGGTACAGGTTGAGGGGGGCATGCTTTGTTAGTTTCTCTAACAACTGACAGCGTACTGTGGTGAGTAAAGGCTAATTAACCAGGGTCCAACAGCACTAGGCATAACTAGCGGTGCCTTAACCTAATCGTAGGCCCTGGGGTTACAGGTAGTCACAGGCCCTATGGGTCTAGTTACAGACAGTGTCCAAAAACTCAAAACCTTTGTTTTTAATAAAGGTGAACAAACCGCCACCACCAGTCATTGATTCCAGCATGGCCAGCCATTACTGCACAAACTTAAGTTCAGAATCAGAGCACTAAAAGCCAGAGCCCAGTAAAAGCCATGGTTGGGAATTTGTGCTGAGAAGGCAGTACATTCTCAAATGAAGAGGAAGTTTGCTTCGCCACATTCTTTTTCAAACTTTCTGTTCCACCTTAAATTGTGCCACAGTTATATTCTGGCATCTGTATCACCACCCCACCAACCCCTGGCCCGGCCCTTCCACTACCCCCCACACAACTGCTACACCACTTATTGTGGAATGGAAAATTCATGTAAGAAACTGGCGAATGGGAAGCCAGTTTCAACATCACTCACTTAGTCTGTAAACAGTGAGTTTTGGAAGAGTTGGTTTGCTGGTAAATCCACTAAATTGATCAAAACTGATGTAGGAAAAACCAGCACTGCATCAACCTTCACTATGAAGCATGCGTCCACCTAACACAAACGCATTTGTCCAGACAACATAACTAGTTAAGTTAAAAACTGACAGCTGAGGTGTACAAAGATGGGAAAACAACACTGCAAACTTAAAAGCCTAAACCTAAGCATCATAGGCAAAAACATTCTGCCACGACGGACATGAAAAATGCTCTTGTCCATTCATGTCTCACCTGTGATGCACTGAATTAACTTAACATGTTTGCTTTCACATTTTTGCAGAGCCCATTTCAGCCTTTGTAATTAAAGAAAACTGTAAATCCTCAGGAAACGATTTTTGGCAGTAAATGAGTAGGAAACTACATACTTTGTAGGATGAAATCTCACTTTAAAACGGCCACAGTTTCATCTTGTAACACAACTGGATCTTCAATTTCAAACTCTGGCATGCTGATAACAAACTGGAAGCTTGAGGGATAGCAACAGTCGCTGTGCAGTGCGGCTGAGAAAAGAAAGTCGATTTTGGCGGAGAGTGTGTAATTTGATTGGCTATAATACAGTGACAACACGTACAGAAAACAAATCGAATTTCAATCAAAGCCTGTTGCACACTGTTTTGATGAAACATGTCACTAAACCTGGAACTTGCAGCTAAGATTGGACACCCCTCACTTAGAGGTACCAAGACTGAAATGGAGAAACTCCTTCGAAGCCTGAGGAAGAACCTCAAAGAGAATCCAAGACTCAAAATAAAGAGAATAGAATCTTTTCTATGTTCCCTAAGAACATAGAAAAGAATCAGGAACCAAAACTCAAAAGTAAAAACTCCCTAAGAACATTAGGACAAACAGGACTTCCGATGAAGATTAAACAATGGCACTGGGATCACACAGAGAAAAGATTCAGATGAATCAGTGACCGACAGAGAAGTCTAGAGGATCTACAGGATCTAAATTTGTTTTCTGTGAGTGCGCTCACTGTATCATGGCCAATCAAATTATTACGCTCTCTGTCAAACTCCCTCTAATCACTGCAGGGCAACTGTTGTTATCTGCCATCGCCTCAAATTTAGTTCATTATCAGTGTACGAGTGTTTGAATTGAAAGCACAAATTGTGTTTAAAAAATGTAATTGACTGTGTGTAAAAGTGAGATTCTGTCCCGTAGACAGTGTCAATTTCTATGTCGTCATCATCATTTGCACTTTTATTAAAAGGCTGAAACCAGCTTTGTGAACATGTCAACGCAAACATCTAATGTTACGTCAATGCAACAAAGGTAGGACAAGAATGGGCCATAAACATATTCCATGCCTGCCATGGCAGTATGCTTTAGCTGTGATAATTAGATTTAGGGTTTATGTTTGCTGTGTTGCTTTTCCTCATCTTTGCACATCTCATGTGTCTGATTTTATCTCAGTCATGTCATCTTCTTTGGAAACTGTCTACCAACTTGGCCAACCCAATTTTCCAACGTTTTTTCTGCCTATGCCACTGGATCAAATGACAGTTTGTTGTAGACCATGGTTGTTTTGGTGAAGTTGATGGCTTTACCGATTAAACTCTACTGCACACCGGTGGAGAAGCACTGCGTAACAGATTGGACAGAGCGCAGCAACAGCACATATGAACTCAAGTTAATCTCAAGGTGAGTTCACCTTGACCAACTTTGATCCTGGGTTTAATTTCCTTAAATGGTGCAGCAGTTGCGAGTGCCAGATTGTAACTGCTGCACCACTTAAGATGGAATGGATAAGTAAAATAAGAACCTGATGGATAAGAAGCTAACTTCGTTTAGGTTTGTGCAGTAATAGTAGAGATAATTGGAAGTCATGCACAGGTGGCGGCAGTGTGTGTCCTTCATTAAAAACCAAGGTTTGAGTTTTTGGATGCTGTGTGTAACTAGACCCATAGAAACTATGACCACCTCTAGCCCCAAGGCCCCTAAGCAGGTTAAGGTGCCCCTGACTGATAGTGCGGTACACTAACATGTATAGGTAGATATGAGAATTCAATCGGAGAATTTCAGAAACAGATTAGAGGTTCATTCAAGAGATGGGAGTAATGAAGCTCATTACAAATCACAACAGAAATCTTTACTTCTTCCTCTTATTTTAGGTGGCTAGCTAGTGATAAAATGAAAATTGGCAAAACCGTTTATCTTAAATGACAATTAAGACAGTCAACATGCTACAAGCTAATGCTAGCTAAAACTACTTTTCCGCTGAATGGTAGCAGCTTGACTCAACTCAACTATACTTGTCTTTTCTGGTTTTCCATTATTTGGTACCTGGTAACAGGCACTATTTTTGGTATCACCTTTTGGTATGATACTAGATGATGTAAAAACACTGCAGACTACTGATTGGTTGGAGAGAATCGTTAAACACATATGTCAACATTAGCTACCAAGTTAGCGTACCCTCTTGCATCGCATTTGAGCAGCTACAATTGTCTCATTGTCTGAACTCTGATGTAGTTTTTCTCAAACTCTCCTGTTTTAAGCAGTCTTTTGTCTTGCTGCCATCAGCCACTTCTGAACACAATTTGTCTCCTTCACGTCACAGCATTTTCATGCACTGTCGCTATGATGACCTGCTACATTGAGGGTTGCTATATCTGCATTGGAAAACAAAGTAGCTGGTGCCAAAAGTGATTAGAGTCAAGTAGAGTTGAGCCGTATCATGCAGTGGAAATGCAGCTTAAGTAAGTTGAGTTTAGCATTTCTCACTGCACACCTGCTCAGATATGCCCTCATCCTCCTTTAGTAGCTTTTTCAATATTATCTTCTCATGCTACCTTGTTTTTTTTGTTTGTTTGTTTTTTTTTGCAGTTCTTCACTTCACTTTTGAAAACTGCCACATTGGTAATGCAAAAAAAGTAATGAACTGCCTGTTGTGTCAACACCAGATTTACACAGGGCTGAATTAGACACGCAAATCTCTCAAGGCTGCTGTTAGCTTCTTCAAAGTTCTGTTCCTCTCTAAATAGTGCAGCAGTTACACACTATTGCCCCTACAGGCACCTGAATGTCAGTGCTACCTAATTTAAGGTGAGAATAAGAAGCTAATGTAGGCTTCATCTAGTCTCTGTCTACTGTATGAGACTCAGTTACAATCAGCAGACCAAATCTTCTAAATCTCTTGGCTCTACCAGTTGAGGTGGGGGCCACTGGTTTAACCCCTAAATTCCTACAGATATACAGTTGACAGTTTTAGGCATTCTTGTGCTTATATGCATGAGTTTATCCATCAACCCACAGTAACCGGCCCAATATGATACTGATAATCTCGTGATTACCCACTCTGGCATTGATGCGAACCCTATTAGGGTAATCAGTGCAGGTTTATGACTGAGTGTGGCAAGTAGTGCAGTGTTTTTGACACTTGCCACTATAAAAGCAGTAGTGTTAAGTGGGTCAGGATGATTGGTTGGTGGCATCGCCCCACTAAAAGACCCCATGACACCAAACCTGATTCCACCCTCTTCCTCTACTTCTTGTACACCTACAGCCACACGAGACGAAGTGAATGCTCTACAGCAGCAGATTATACACTCTTCAAGGGTTTTTAGTAAAGACAATGATTCTATACAGAACCATGAACACACAAAGTTTAAATGGCTTAAACGGTTCTTTGCATTGTGAAGGAGTTCTTTAGTCTGATGGAGAATGTGTTTATGTGCATATGTGTATATGATCCTATATAGAAGCTTTTGAAAAGGGTTCAATATAGCACCAAAAAGGGGTCTGCTACTGTTATGATGTCACACTTGTAACAATCAACAATCAAGAACCCTTTTTAGTGCTTTATAGAGTCATATACAACACATTCTCCATTTCACCATGCAAAGGACCATTTAAGCATGCAAATGGTTCTTTGAGTGTTTGCAGTCTTATGTAAAACCATTATCTTTACGAACCATAGTTCTTACCAAGTAGTTTACATGATATTTAATACAAATGCTGTATAAATCACAAACAACTCTCCTTTTTATTACATAATGAGACCTTTAATATGATCGTTATAGGGAAATTAGCATTTGTGTTTAATTGGTAGCAGTACGAGGTGCGCGTTCCCGAGGCGGCGAGGCGCGTTCCCGAGGAGGCGCTGCGCGTTCATGAGGCTCTCGCCATAGAAAACAAAGCTATCTGCGCGGCTCCCATTAGGCTCCAGCCAAGTGAACAGACCGCGGCTCCGACTGCATGTAGACCGAAAACAACAGCCCCCAAAAAATGGATTTACAGCTGGTGTAAGGGCCGACGACACGGAGGCCTGTTTTAGAAGGGAGTGAAGACGGCAGGCAGTCGCGGAACTGACCAAAATATACATATTTTTTCTCCCTTCGGAGTGCTTTGTCTTGGCCAGCTTAGCGAAAGCCATCATTGTCATTTTCTATTGCAAAGCTATCCAGCTAGTGTCTGCTAGCTGATCAGCCACGGAGGGAAAGCAAACAGCGAAAAACCTTCGCCATGTCGCTATCAGACGGGGTTTATTGAAGAGGGAGAAGGCTGAAACTGTGGAGGAAATACTATTTTTCGCCGTTTTTCGCTTCAGGGAAACCCATTGACTGTTTGTCCTCGGCGACATGGCGGAGCAGAGCTACTCCTGGTGAGTGCGGCATTAGCACCGTTTAGCTTCGTTGTTGCGCTGTTGTTATCGTTTACACTGAAAGAAAATGCCCCTGTTTTCTCTCCGCTTACACTCCCGAGTGCTGTCATGATCATAAATAGGACATCCGCGACTGTTTTCACACATCTAAGTTACGCTAAACAACGACCGAGGTCCCCGTTAAAGGATCGAGGCGTTGTTTTGGCACTCGGATGCTGGCTAAGCTAGGCTAAGCTAACATCCAGCTCGGCCAAAACATTAAAACGGCTTTTTAGCGCAGTGAGCGGAGATTTGTAGGAAATGTTTGAAAGGGAAATAGTGTTGTAAAGTGTCATTGTGTCGTTGCTGTTGCCACACTCGACGCCGTGTTTGTGGATTCTCGATTAGCTAAGCTTAACTAGCTAGCTAGCTTGTAGGTAAGGAGACTCAAATCGGGGCTTCTTGTTTGCATTTTTCCGTTCCACCTTAAATGGTGCCTCAGTTACATTCTGGCGCATGAGGAATGAAGCGCCAGAATGAAACTGCCTCACCATTTAAGGTGGAACGGACAAATCGAGTAGGAAGCTTCGTTTGTAGGTAACCAATAAAGGAGAATTCCATTACTTTCAGCTTTAACGTTAGCTTAGCAAGCTATCGAGACCCATTCTTTTTAATGGAGCCTGTCTTAGCAACATTAGCACTTGAGCTAACTTAACGGACGCCTTTCGTTTGCAGCCCGAGCGACCCCGTCTACCGCTTAGGCTGCTTCTAACAGCATTTACTTCTTATGTTTGCCATCTGTTTTGATGGGCAACGTGTGGGTTGTTGCCTTGTTAAAACCGTAGTTGGTATTTGGAGCTGCGTAACCAGCTAGCGCCAGTTGCTTTTAACCCACTGTTGAGGGCAATAATTGAGGGTTTAGCTCATTATAAACCAGATGGACCAGCGCAGGCTAATCCTCACTTCTTTACGGGCCACTGCAGGACATTCATTTCTCGGTTGTTTATATTTTTAACGTTAGAAGGTGCATTTCGAGGAGGTTTCATCACGAGTTTTGGTGAAAGGCAGTCTAGTGCTGGGTCGATAAATCGTACATATACCGGCATTTGTGTCACAACGATATTGATTATTAGTTTTAGCGGAAGTAATGGAGGGTGAAAACTTAAGTCATTTGCTGGGTGCTTTTGAAACAATTTTAAAATGTTCAAAAACTAAAATACGTTCTCTGTCGTCTCCATTTGTGTCAGTTATGTTGATTGTTAGTTTTGGCGGTCGTAATCGATAGCAAAACTTGGCAATATGTCATTTGGTGGGTGCTTTTGAGAAAACGGGTCAAAATACATCAAAACTGAAATAACTTATTGCAAATATGTTTTCTGTCCTAATGATGCTTTCCCTTTGGTGTAAGTTTAAGAGGGAAAACTGAACAAAACAAGCAATGTCACATTAGAAATCTTTTAGTATAGAGCAGCAGCACTCTCGAAGGATGGGTTTGTTTGCATTTCTTAAAGCAAGCTTCAGATATCATTTAAAGGCATGATAGAGGTGGGTGATATGGCAAAAAATGTAATCACGATACTCCACGATACAGCGTATGTCACATTATGCATTTTTTCTGACATCTAAGTTGGAACAAAAGTACTGCCACATTTAAAATACTCTCAAAACTAAATACAGTTTGTATTTGTATTAAAAAACTAAATTTGCATTTAGCATTTCGTATACTGCACTGCACTAAATCCAACCAAACAGGACTTATTAGACTCTGTGATCAAGCATGCAGTTGGGAAGTGTTTGTAAATACTGATGATGCCGATAATCATAATAACGATAAATATTGTCGTATTGCCCAGCCATGCGGCCTAATACAGTGATTACTGTATTAGTCCAGTACTAGTACAGCTTGTTTTTCCATTGACATCTGAATTCCCATTTAAGACAGCTGGCAGTCCTCTAAAAACTAAATGTTGAAGCCCTCTGGGTCTCTTCAGTAATGATAACCATTTAACCCAAGAATGTGTTTCTTCTTTCCCCTAAGAAGGATTTGAACTTCCCAGGGAGCCTGAGAACATGTTAACTCGGCCATTTCTGTAACTTCATTAGCCACACATTTGGCAAATTGTCACTCTGACGTAATTTAGCATTGCTAGTGCGTTAGTGGTTTGTGCCAAGATTATTGATTGTTGACTGAAGTGTCAGCGTGCCAGACAGATAAATGGTTCATTGATCAGTTTTTATTTGCATTGCAACCAGTATAATTGATGGCTTTATTGAGGATGTCTCTGGAAGACTTGATTTTTACATTCTTTTGCTGCTCTGACAAACACGGCTGTAAAAAGTTGAGTTTCACAGCCTGTGTCTTTTCAGTTGGCCTTTGTCAGGTTATATCATTATGAGAGAATGGGATTTATATAGAGGTGGCTGATATGGTAAAAATCTGATATTGCGATACTTCAGGAAAGTTTCACGCAATATATCACAATATTTATTTTTTCAGGCATCCTATCAGTTGGAAGAGAGAGATAAAAGAGCCAGTAGTGTTATATTTAAAAAAAAAAACTACATAAAGCTGAATACAGTGATTTTTATTCGCTATTAGGCATACTGTATTGCACTAAATCCAGTTAACAAGGACTAATTTTCTCTATTTGTAATCATGCAGTTGGTCAGTGTTCTAAGTAGTGGTGATTTCCACAATATGTTGAGAAAAGCATATTGTATTGTAATTTGACAATTTATCCCAATAACTAATGTATATATACTAGATATGTCTATAATCAGAATCAGTTCTGTGCTCACCATTCCATATGCAAGTTCTCGACCTCGAGTTTTAAACACCACTTCAAGGTGTGCCATCATGCCTCATTGTTAGAAACCAGGAATGGTGTGTCTTTTTTTTATCTCCCCCTCTTATCAATTACAGCATATAGACTCCAGTGTCTTCCCCCATTTACTCAGAGATGCCTTTGTCTTTGTGTTGGTGTTAACCGTCCGGTTTGCCAGGCTCAGTTTGAACGTGGGCTCATCCTTGTCTGTGCGTGAGCTTTCGATGGGGGTTGAAACGCCATTAACAGGTGTAACATAAAGCCGACCTTAATGTGTGTCAGGAAAACAAACCCAGTGAGTTTTTGGCCACAGAGTAAATAACATCACTGTTTGCAGTGGGAACTGGGCCAGCGTTTCTTGATTTTACAGATTAGTCCTAGACTATTCCAGTCCTAACTTATTCCATGTTCTCAAAATCAGGCAGTAGTTTCTTATAAAATTCTGTCACTGAGCTGTAAACAATATAACAGTGAATAGAGTTCACTCTGATGCCTAGTGTTTATCACTGACAGTGCTTTCTTTGAAATATGGCAAAATAGGTTGTTTTAAATTTTAGTGTGCTTTCATTTTTAAAAATATTATGATACTCTATTGAATTTTGGACATTTTGACCTATGAAGTATTCTTCAAGAAGTGATTTGAATAGATGGCATGGTATGCTGGTTTCTCCATATACATTTGTATTAAATCAAGCAGTTACCTTAGACATCTTTACAGAGAAAATGCAGGTACCAAGGGCACATAGCTTATATTTACCAAAGCTGAAAATCTTTTAAGAAAATCTCAATGCATCTAAGGATCCCTGCTGTTTACAGTGATTTTCGGTGATTTTTTTCTTCCAAAACTTCTGCTTGATTCAGTGGTTTAGATATAAACATAAGTCATTCAGAGTGGTTTGGTGTGAAATTGTTGATTGTAAACTTAAAGGCTCAGATTTCTTTACAGTGGTGGTGATAGGAACCAGGGGTCACAATGTCTACAACACAAATATAGACATTTTATTTACTATCCAAAACCATCAGTGAACCTACACGAGTCTCCTGAGTTTTTATGTGTGATGTCGATGATGGTAAAATAGTGGTAAACCTGAAAAAAGTACTGTTTTTCCCTACAACAGCCTCCATGTTCCTCTATTGTGAATGGATTTAAAATGCAGGCAAAACCTTCTCAAAACTATTGTAAAACAGTGTTTGACATCAGGCAGTGTATGCTTAACCATTTCATGTAATAATTTTCTGTGAGGGAGCTTTTAGAGGTGGACGTCTGGTTCCTATCACTACCACTGTGAACAATTCTGGCTCTGTAAGTTTCTCTAGAACAGAGCATTTCACACAAAATCACTTTGAATGACCGTTTACATCTTAATGATTTCGTTATGCCAAATCTTACAGACACGCCTACGTTCTTCTGTTTCTCTTATGATGGTTTAGAAGTTATCAGAATGTCCTCAGTGATAAGTGTTAAAAGAGGCTTTAGGTTAAATCTGTATTTTCCACAGATGGCACCCCTAGACTTTAAATGCCCTGATCCTTTTCACGTTCTAGTTTGGCTGCTTATGTAAAAAAATAAAGTGCCAAACATTTGCTTTTGTGATTATCCAGTGGTGGAGCGAATGGCTGAAGAGACCTTTATTATTAAGTTGTCTGGTGTTGCTCTTCGGCTACCGATCTGTATTCCCTTGGTCTCCAAGAATGGTGTTATCCTTAATGTAGATACCGCAGGAAATTAGGCCAAATGCTAGGCTAAGCAGATGATGCTTCGAATGTGTAAATATGCCATCTCTGCACTTTAGAACCAAGTTGGTGGATTCCGTTGCAAGTAACCTGTGATGAAACCATGGCATTATACAGCTTGTGTGTTTATATTCTTTGTGTATCCGTTTACTGGTTGACCCTGATATTGCGAGCTGCTTCCTGCCTACAAAAGCATTTTCCTGTGAGGCCTTTATCGTTTTCAATAGAAGCCAGTTCAGAATGTTGTGCATAGATGGCACTCAGATCTATGAATGAGTGACCTGACAGACAACCAGGATAGCTCCAGACTATAAATCTTTTCTGCATTAGAGGTGTTTCAGGGTCATTGTGCAAATGGTTGAAACCCAAGAACCGTGATCAAATCCTTCATGAAACTACTTTAATAGGCGTAAAGAGCCAAAGAGTATGCACAGTGCTTTTCCCAATTTTTCCAAGCGGTCG